CCCAGGGACCTGAGGTCCCCTGCCACGCGGAGTCCCGCTTGCTGGAGCAGATCCAGTCCTGGGACCTGGACCCGAAGCTCCACTATAGGGTCACCTGCTTTCTCTCCTGGAGCCCCTGCACTGACTGTGCCCAGGACATGGCTCAGTTCCTGAAGGAGAACAGCCACGTGAGCCTGAGCCTCTTCGCCTCCCGCCTCTATACCCGCGGACACTATGACGAGGGCTTGCGCACCCTGAAGAGGGCCGGGGCCAGCATGGCCATCATGACCTCCAGGGGTCAGTGTGGGCCTCCCCGGGGGTGGGGGGCAGAGGGCAGGGAGAGGCCCGGCGGGGGCGGGGCGCTGCTCCAGGGAGGTGGGCAGGAGCAGTGTCCCTGGCGGCAGCCCCTGTTGGCCGCCTGCGGAGGCGAGGCTAGAGCCTGGACGGGCACAGGACAGCAGGCCGGTGGGAAGGGAGCCGTCCGGGCAGGACAGGGGTCTCCGCAAGGGGAGGGAGGGTGGTGGGTGGACGGGGCAGAGAGCCCTGGGGCTTCCAGGGAGAAGGGGAGTCAGGCTGGCTGAGGTTCCAGGCTGCAGAAAGAGTCCCGGGGGTCAGGGGAGTGCTCGGGGAGGAGAGAGAGCGGGGGCTGGGGTTGGGAGGAGCGCGCGGCCTGGGCCTGAGAGTCAGACACCCTGTGGCCCCCGGCCCTCCCTCCGCAGAGCCCAGCTCACGGCCCTCCCCGCCCCGCTGCAGAGTTTGAGCACTGCTGGAACGCCTTCGTGCACCACAAGGGAAACCCCTTCCAGCCCTGGCCGGGTCTGGCCACGGAGAGTCAGAAATTCTCCGAGAAACTGCAGCGCATTCTCCGGGTGAGGCTCCTCCCTCCCTCCCTCCCTCCCTGCCACCTCCCCTGCCCTCCTCCCTCCTCTCCCCTCCCTGGCCTTTTCCTGCCCCTCTCAGAGCCTCCACTGGTTACCTGCTCCCTCCAGGGAGCCGGCTCCACCCCTCCCGCCCCCCCCAACTCCTCTGCTCCCTCACCTCTTGTGTCCCCTCCCTTCCCCATCTCTGGGGCAGCCGGACCCCTTCTCTGCTCCCTCTGCCCACCGGTCTCACGGCCCGCCCCATGCAACTCCACCTTCTCCTCCTGGAGCAGGGAGCCTGAAGGATGGACCTCAGTCTGGCTAAAGACCACAGGACAGGCC